AACAAAGCGCAAGCGAAAAAAGAGTGAAGGCACACACAACAGCCATGGTTCGTATTTGCTGTGTGGTCCGCTGCAATGTTTGATCGCACGACCGGCAAGAGAATAAGCTTGAAAAGGGTTTGTCTTTTCATTCTTTCCCAACCTGGAAGCAACATGAGGCAGCTCGTGTATCGATGTTACCAAACAAAGGCGTCTAGCCTGGATAGCAGCTGTGAGACCAGCTGATATCCAGTTCTTTTCCATCTCCAAATATCTCATTTCATTCCGGTAAGTTCTAAATATGTTCATATCACTCTTTATAGCCTATTAGTTTTATTTTCTATGCGCTCTGAGCTCATAGCAAATTAGAACAAACATCCTACGGAGTGATTTTGCAGAACTACCTTCTATTTATAGAGTTGCTAATTATTTGGCATTATTGCAGCAAACCAGCCTATGAAATGGATGAAACATCATGACTGGGTTCCAGCGCTACACAAGGGACCTGCTTCAAACATACCACCATGCCAATCAGATTACTTCTTCCATGTGAGGGTGAAGAGGTGACTATATAAAAACACCCTAATCAGACACACAGTATTTTCCTCAGCACTTCACAACTGCCGCAAGGTATATCGTTTTAACTTTTTATTTTTTCATCTGAATGTGCGTTGGAGCTGACTTTGCTACCCGCACAGAGCGTTTCTGACAGTTGGGTGCTGCTTATACAATAGAGAAAAGCAACAATACAGTGTGTTTCTCTGCTCCAAGAAATCCGAGGGCCTTTCACAAGGTAAGCATGTCTGTTATACCCAGCGCATAAATGTCTGTGTGTTAGCGCTGATTATTCAAACCCTGTTTAAAATGTGACACATATGTTGTCCAAAAACAATTCCTCTAAATTTGCAAAGTTACTGATTTAAAAAATATATATTTTCGAATTTTTAGTTGCATGACAAACATATGATAGCTAAATTCACAATGGTATAACCATGCTAAATAAAAGAGACCAAAGCACTCTAATGCAAACCTCTAAACTGTATGTTGATAAGTACATGAAGTGTATCTCTACCTCTACAGCTGAAAACAGTTTGTATCCGCACTCTGAGTGTCATGGTCCCCGCACCTCGCCAGCTGACAGCAGTCAGGCGCTATGTTTTGTGTTCTTTATTCTTCTCTCTTGCCTCTGCTCTTTTTCTCTCTCGTCCTCTCCCTCTCTCTTTCTCCTGCCGGGGCGGAGCTCAGTATGGGCTCCCGCCCCTGGCCCACGCACC